CTCCCCTCGGGGCACTTCTCCTCCCCCCTTTATAGGGTGCCCCACCCCTCTCCTCCAGGCACTCCTTCCCCAGCTCCTGCCCCCTGTGGCGGCTCCTCCCCCTACCAGGTCTCCCTGTGGTGGGGGAGAGTCCTGCCTGGGCCTGGTTCCTTACCTCCGGCACTGCAGGCAGTGTTCTCGCCACCCCCCCCACACTCCCTCCAGGAGCAGCCATTGCTTTATCTCATGCCTGCTCTCTCTTCCTCTGCCCATCACCTCCTGGGGATCCTCCATTTCTTTTCCCTTTCCTCACGTTTCATCCCCTGGTACCTTGGGCTTGCAACTCCTCTTTTCAGCTCATGTGAGGAGTGGGTTTGGGGCTCTGGGAAGGGTTACGGTGGGGCCGGGACAGCGCTTCCGATCCCTGATCGGATCGTTCATTTGTCACACATGGGGGAAAGGTTACGACTGAAGGGTAACCCTGCAGCAAGGAGTGGTGTTGAATCGTGGCGCAAATCCCTCCCTGGACTGTGGCACACGTGGGCGTGCCGCACACGGGCTTTTCCCCCTCCTTGAAATGGGCACTGTTTTCCAGTTATGCACCGTGGTGTCCTGCCTGCCAGAGCCTGCAGCCGGAGTGGGAGAAGTTTGCAGAATGGGGGGAAGATCTGGAGGTTAACATTGCGAAGGTGGATGTGACGGAAGAGCCAGGTAATCCTGTAATGATGTGTTGTACACAAAGAATACAATAAACTAGTGCCTTCAGGTACTCGTTTTCCTTGTTTCCTTTCCGGTGATGCTCTAAGCCAGTTTCTGAATAAATCTGTTATCAACAGGAATCCTGGTTTTCCCTGATTAAAAAAAGTAATCCAGAAGCCACATTTTTCTGTGATCGATCAAAATGAAACCCCTCCCTCTCCTTCTCCCTTACTCTATCTACCTATCTATCTATATAATAAGAGCCTGTGCCACCTACCTCTCTCTGCTCCCCCCCCATGTCCAGCCACAAACCCCTGTGCCTCAGGTAACCAGCATTTTTAGATTACCAGCACACCCCATTCCCCACTCAAGCCAGAAAACAGGGCTTTTACTGTATCTATAGATATAGATCTGTATCTATATGTTAGTAATATTTCATTTTAATCGCAGAAAAATGTGGGTTTGGGGTTACTTCTTTCAAACCAAAAATTGGGGATTTTTTTTAATCAGAAAACCAGGAACCCTGGCTATCAATTAAAAAAAGAAAGACGATAGAAATTATTCAAATGTAATTTTTGTAACGGTGCTGAGAATGTTACTATTTATTAGCTCTGCTAGCGTGAGGGATTTTCAAGAATGTTTTAGTTGAAGGTACACTGCTGTTAAATCCCTGTATTGCTTTTGAAAATATCATCCTGTTTGTATTGCAGTAGTCTCTGGATGTCTCAACCAAGGTGGGGTCCTTTTGCAGTTGTGCACAGTTAATATGTTCACAGGGTGTGCGATCACCCCAACTTATGGCACATTAACAGAGCGAACCTGCTACAAAGAAGTTTTGCATATAATGGTGACCCCAGGCTCCACACAGTCTGTCAGAAATGGGGTCAGAGATGTGTCCCTGGTGGCAGGCTCTGTGTGCTAGCAGCTGTGATGACCAGTCCCAACAATTGTGTATCCTGCTGTGCACACGTCAAGAACTGCAGTAATTGGGATCAGAGATCATGCCTTTAAATGACTGACTGACAGGGGCTTCCCTGTCCTGGGTTATGTCTGTTAGATAGTGTTCAGTATTTCAAAGTGTATGTGCCAGTCTGCGTTTGATCCCAATAGCAGTTATGCTTGTGAACCACTGTTTTGCATTTTTCAGTCAAGATCCATGGTACAGTAATTCTGCTGCTGATCTCTTTGTGCATCAACGTGCTCTAACCCTTTTAAAAAGTTACTTTTCTCTCTTCCAGGACTAAGTGGGCGGTTTATCATAACAGCACTGCCAACCATCTACCAGTATGTATCACAGTTCTATAATAACAGAGCAAAATGCATGGATTTTTCTTGGGGAAAAATGTTTCTACATCTTTAGTTTTATTGGTGTGGTCTGGTTGGTGTTCAGGATGGAAGAGGATGTTCAACATCTTTGTAAGATTAATGCTACTTTTATTTTAAAGCTACAGGGAATTGGTATCCTCAAGCCTAGGGCTAGGCAACACCTGGCATGCATGTGGCCCACGAAAGCATTTTGTTTGGCGCACATGCCTTGGGGAAGAGGCTGGGGCTGTGCTGTCCTAACAAGGATTGGGCCCTTCAGGAGCCCCACTGTCTGCCCCAGCACACCAACATCTTACATGCCCAAAAATGTTGCCAACCCCTGCTCTTGTCCATCTTTCTGCATAGCTTGGGTCTTAGAATTAGGCTGTGCAAAGAGGGAGGTATTCAGTATGGATTCGGCTGATTTGGAGGACAGTGATTTGATTTGGATCACTGTCCTGAATCAATTCTGAAGCTGATTTGGTGCTCATTTGGAGAGATTCGGTGATTCGGATCCACCAGGGAGAGGCAGGCACAGCTGGGTGGCTGCAGGTTCTCCTGCGGCTTCTCTGGCTGTGCCTGCCTCTCCCTGGGTGGGGGGAGCCGCAGAAGAAGCCCCTATGGCTGCCCTGCCTGGCCTCATCCCCCACTCAGCACCAGCCTCCTGGCACTTGGGGCGGGGAGGGGGAAATGAACCCTGTGCTCACCAGCTGTAGTGGGGGCTGTGGAACCTCCTGGCAGAGCCCCCCTGCGCAGCCCCTGCTCTCCGACTGCCCACCCCAATAGCCCCCTGCCTGGCCCCAGCAGTCTGGGAATCAAAAAAAACCCCAACAAAACCGTACTCGCCAGCAGCAGCAGTGGCTTTGGGGGCTCTGGGGCCATATGGCAGAGCCTACCCAGTCCCAACATCCTGGTGACTTTAAAAAAAAAAAAAAAAAAAAAAACC